CATTGAATGACCGTTCGGCCCCCTCACTCTGACAATGGTTACCGGATGGGGGGATCAACAATACTTAATCTTTAGAAAACAGGATTCAACACGACCACATGTTAAGACTGATCGCTCTTACCTGCTCGCGCAGCACTCAACACGTATCCCAAACCCTCGATACCCGCCTTCCGTCTTCGACCGTGCCCCCGGGGTATATCTTCCTTACCTGGAGAAGAGAGGACGAGGGAGAAGGATGGAGCACCAGAGAGATTCGCAGGACGCGGGGGCCAGGAGCAGAAAACACGTGGCAACACCAGACGGGCTGATCGGGTGGGTAGACCGCTGAATAGCGGGAGGGTCGGGAAGGCGGGCCAAAGCGGCCACATCGAGCAGGCGGATTGCTGAAGCGTGAGATCTGCATGAATCGCGAGGAACTCTCGGGCGATAGTGCGACTCCCACATCGATTGTGAGGAAAGCCAGGGCGAGAGCGCGATTCCTGAGCGTCGAGGGCGCGGCTTTTGAATAAATTGCGAGGAAGTCCCACGCGAGAGCGATTCCTGCATACAGTACGAAGAAATCCTGCGCGAGAGCGCGGTTTTCAATGACGTCTGAAGAAGTATCAAGCGGGAGCCGCTGTTGTTGTAAATCCGGGGCCACCAACATAGTTTGGTGACACCCCACTGTCCCTTGTAAAAAACAAATGCAAACCCAAAGAAGAACACTTCAATTGAACAACACAATGATTACTGGTTGCCGGAAAAGGGGCCAACCATACGTCAGAGTGAGGGGGCCGAACGGTCATTCATTGCCACTGGGTGCGTGGCTGAAAAGGGAATCCTTGGTGAGGATTATGCTTGTTGCGTTGTTGCTGTTGCTGCAGCTGCTGCTGCTGCTGCTGCTGCTGTTGTTGTTGTTGTTGGTGTTGTTGTTGTTGTTGTTGTTGTTGTTGTTGTTGTTTGTTGTAGGCGACCCACCCGCGACCCATGCGCGACCCACCCGCGGCCCACCCGCGACCCAACCCGCGACCCATCCGCAACCCACCCGCGACCCACCCGCGGCCCACTTGCGACACACCCGCGACCCACCCCGCAACCCACCCCGCGACCCACCCGCGACCAATCCACATTGGTTCGAAGAAAAGATCGGCGCCTGTAATGGGCTCGTTGTATAATTTGTGAGAAATTGGCGCCTGCGGCGGGCTTCTCCAGAGTCTCGCAGACTGCCGGCTTCCCCACCGCCCCTCACTCTTATCCGCATCTGCGGCTTGCTATGGTAATGATTTGTTTAATGCGACTTCAACAGCAACAACAACACTCACACCACCACCACCACCACCAACAACAACAACAAGGTAAGGACGCTACCTGGAGGCCCCATTCTACCTGTCTGTCCCTACCCTCTTGTACGGACCTTAGCTGGAGGCCCCATGGGGGGGGGGGAAACGGGAAACGGGAAACGGGAAACCCCTCCGGCTTCATAATACCTAGGAATACGGATTCCAGTCCGACCCTTCCACCTCTGCACTGGAGTCGACCACGCAAACGCGAGGGAGCACCAGCGAGGCTCCAGCAACCATCGGGAACCCTAGGGAATCCATAAGGAAATCCCAAAGAATCTATAGGGAACCCTGGGGAATCCATAGGGGAACCTGGGGAATCCATAGGGAACCCTAGGGAATCCATAGGGAACCCTAGGGAATCCATAGGGAACCCTAGGGCATCCATAGGGAACCCTACGGAATCCATAGGGAACCCTAGGGAATCCATAGGGAACCCTAGGGCATCCATAGGGGAACCCTACGGAATCCTTAGGGAACCCTAGG